TATATATATTTATATTTATTTTTATATATATCTATATATATATAGATATATATAAATATATATCTATATATATATAGATATATATAGATATATGTCAGTAAAAACTGCTTTAAAAACGATCTAAACTCCAGGAAATATTTTCAAATGTTTATATCATTTATGCAAAAGGAGAGAATCTAAGCTTTCTGCTTATTTCCTATAATTCAGATTTTTAATAACTCCACCCAAAAGATTTTCAAGTGACAGGTTTCAAAATGGGAATGATCTAAGCCGGAAAACTAGATTTTTGTGTCAGTTTTGTCTTTCTGACCTCGGAAAACGTCAGCACTTTTGAGGCAAGTGTGCATCTATGTAAATCTTTGCTGGTGTCACTGACGTAATCTTTAAAGGGACGCCTACACCAAGACCCCCCCCCCCAAAAAAAAGGTTCCCATGCTTAGCTGTGCCTCCGTCACTTAGTTCAGCAGCATCGACTAAGCGCTGGGTTCAGCTGGGGAACGGATTATGGAAACGGGACTTGCAGGAACAGGTGAATGAACAGGATCACTTAGTGATAAAGGACTGACACAGACCAGGTAAGGGAGAGGTGTTGGCTGCAGCTTCTCGAGGCCGAGCTAGAGAACGCTCCCCACTTTTCCCTCACTCCCATTTAGATTCTTTCTGCCACACTGGAAAAAAGAAAGAAAGAAAGAAAGAAAGGAGTCACCAAATCCCTAATTTTTAAAAGCAGTATGCTGCTTGATTTCCTTCTCGATTAATGAAAGGATAACTAACTTTCTGATTCCTGTGTTAAGCTTCACCGATGACCAGGTAGCTTTTCTATCTGTATCTCAAAGCTGCATTTGACACTTCCCTAGGCTTTTTCTGACTTTATCCTTATCACACTTTTCACACTTTTTTGCAACCTGTGATTATTCAGCCATAACGCTCGGTGGCCTTCGAGTCCTCATTTAACTAGCAACCTTTTTACATTTTGTTTTTTCGAGGTCATTGCTTAGTTTACTTTTATTTATAGTGTTTAAGAGCCGACCGGCTGTTTTGGGATTTAGATTTTCCCTTGATTCTACTGAAATCTGCTTCCATAAAATTAATTTCTCTATTTAAAGAAAATCGGTTTCACCAAGTCGCCTTTCGCCTCCCCAGACACCGCCACCCAGTTTCCAAACACCACGTGGAGCCTCGCCCCCTGCCTCCCCGAGGGTCCCACCATCTCACCCTGAAAAACGTGAGGGACCATGACCGTCTAGGACACTGTTTTTCCAGCAGTAACTGGTTTAACTTCCTCCATCACCTCCAAGTCCTGAAGACTGACAACTCTGTGGTCACCTGGAACTAATTTCCCCCCTCCTCGTTGGAGAACGAGCCTTTTATCTCCTATTCATCCAGCTCGATCTTTGCCTACATCTTAATTCCACAAACCAGAGGAAAACGATGTCTACACCTGAGGTCAAAAGCACTCTTCATTTCTCTATTTAAGCTCACACGAGAATTTATAGTCGATCAAGCAGTACAAGCTTATTTTCTCGTAAAACTCTAGTAGTCGTGATGCCGTGACCTAAGCATTGCTATGATATCAGTGATCTTTGAAGGTTTAGTGACTTGCACAAGGTCACACAGCCAATACACTACTTAGCCACAAGTCAGATTCGGTCCTAGGTTCAACCGGACACCTCTTCCTATTTCTCAGTTATTCTAGTTACTTCCTTGACGTAATTATCAACAATGGCGTTCAGTTCCCCTTCGCATTCATTGGGGCATATTAACGAAACAGGGTTTTAGTGCATCAGCATAATAGTGGTCAGGTTCCCTTGGATTTGCCATTTTTCCCCTTATGCCACATCACAAGATAGGCTGCATCATCCCTTCTGGTCCCTTCTACATAAGGAGACCGAAATCCATGAGTGAATCTCTTTTGAGACCAGTCGAATTAATATTTATTTCCCTTAGCAGAATATCCAGGAAAAAAGGCCACACCCATTCACACCCAGACTAGCCTGGAGACTGTGTGGGGACA